TGCTGAACCCCCAGAAGCTCTCAGCCTGGGTCCATGGTACGATAGCACTCAGCAGGACGAGAGTGGGCAAGAGACAGGACATCCGGGGCAAGAACAGTGGCTGCTGCCTGGGTGAATCCAGGAACACTTTGGGTGTTTAGTAGGCATGAGAGAAGGAAAGGGTTTGAGGCAGAAGGAATACCAAAGGCAGGGTGGAGGAAGTGCCAGGCAGAGGAGCAGAGAGATAGTAAGGTGGAGCGGAAAGAACACAGGGTCTCGTGAGGGGGGGTGGGGGCGTGATGGAGAGGTGAACAGGGCCTTGAACGCCGGGTTAGGGAGATTGACTTCCTCTGAACGCCAGGTTAAGGGCACTGGAGGAGCCATGAGAGGTATTGAGCTGGAGAGTGACACAGTCAGATCGGTTTGGGGAAGAACTGTGAGTGGGATGGTATGGCGGGTGGCCTGGAGGCGGTGAGCCTGCCCCTCTGCCTCTGCCCACAGCCGTGCGCGCTGACCGCATGCGGGGTGGCCGGAACAAGTTTGGGCCCATGTACAAGCGGGACCGGGCCCTGAAGCAACAGAAGAAGGCACAGATTCGAGCCAATGGCTTCAAGCTGGAGACAGGCCCCCCAATGGGGGTGCCCCCGCCGCCCCCTCCCCCGCCGGACTACATGCTGCCCCCTGGCCTGCATGCACCTGAGCCCAAGGGCCTGGCCTCTGGTCCACCTGCTGGGCCACTGGGCGACTTTGGGGCCCCAGCGCTGCCTATGGCTGTGCCCGGCGCCCACGGGCCACTGGCTGGCTACCTCTATCCTGCCTTCCCTGGCCGCGCCATCAAGTCTGAGTACCCGGAGCCCTACGGCAGCCCCCCACAGCCCGGGCTGCACTACGGCTACCCAGAGCCCTTCTCCGGAGGGCCTGGTGTGCCCGAGCTCATCCTGCAGCTGCTGCAGCTGGAGCCAGACGAGGACCAGGTACGGGCGCGCATCGTGGGCTGCCTGCAGGAACCGGCCAAAGGCCGCCCCGACCAGCCTGCACCCTTCAGCCTCCTGTGCAGGATGGCTGACCAGACCTTCATCTCCATCGTGGACTGGGCACGCAGGTGCATGGTCTTCAAGGAGCTGGAGGTGAGTCCCTCCTCCCACGTGGCTGGCCGCTGGTTCTGGGGTGTCCCCTCAGCTGACCAAGTCTCAGTCTTGGCCACCCCTTGGGTGGGGCTCTCCTGCCCACTGGCTTCAGGCCATGTCTGGGGACAGGGAGGCCACCCTGGGGACATGAGGAGTGTTTCTGGTCCATCACAGCCTTCCTTGTCCCTGTCCCACCTCCTCACTCACCCCTCCCTCTTTCTCCTTCTCTGTTCCCTGAGTGTCTATCTCTCACGGCCTCTGGTTCTTTTACCTCTGCCTCTGTCTCTTTCTGTTGTCTCTCTCCCTGGTGTGCTATCTCTCTGCTTCCCTGTCTCTCTCTAGTCCCTTCAATCTTTGTCTCTTTCTCTCCCAGTCTGAGTCTCTGTCGACATTTATCTTTCTTTCTCTGAGACCCTGGGCTCTCGCAAAGGACTAGCTCAGTCCTTGGGAGGCTGTCTCTGGTTGCCCCAGCCCAATGTCAGGAAGAGGGTCCAAGCCATCCTGTCCTCTCATTTGGAGAGGCCACCACTCCCTGCTAGCCTCAGATATCACAGAAGGGGTCTTAGTATCTCAGAGTTTGGGATGCTTCTCCTTCCCAGCTAAGGTGAAAGATCTTACTGTCCCTGCATCTCTCATGCACGATGGTTAGTCCCACGTGTAAATGTGTGTGTCTGTGTGTGCAGGGAGTGCTAGGTGGGAGGGTAAGTGGGGGATTGCAGGGCCCGCCCCTCATCTTCCAAATGCCTCGGCTGCAAGGCCTTCCATTGCCCTGGGTTGAGGTACCTGCGGCTAAAGTAAGCAGGAAAGCAGCAGGAGAAACTAAGGCCAGACAAGGAAGAACTTCCCAATCACCCTGCCTAGTGGTTTGAAGCACCCGAAGACTGGGAGCTGCCCCTCTAGTGCCCTGGCTCCCTATGATCAGGGTTTCTGCCAACTTCAGAGGCCCCCCTCCCCCAAGCCTGGCCAAGCCCATCCTCCCTGGCCTAGACAGAGACATGATAGGCCTTTAGTTCAGGCCTATTGATGTGTGCCTTTCCCAGGTCAGTCCCCTTGGCTGTTCTGGGACTGGGTGTAAACAGCAGGGCCTGTTGCCCTCCCTGCTGGGGCCACTGCAGCCTTGAGCAGCATTGTCAGTGCTGACGCCACTCAGACCTGGGATTCCTCCAGGGGCATGTGGCCGGATGGGCCAGGGGTACTGTCTGCAGGGGCTGAGCTGGGCATGGGGGTCGGGGGGATAAGATGAAGCCTGGGCACTGTGAACCCTCGAGGTATCGTGGAGCTGGGCGCCTGGGTTGCTCTGCGGCCCAGAGCAACCAAGCATTGGCTGTAATGCCTTCTGCTTCCACTGTGGGGGGCCTGTTGTGGCTGATGTCTGGGGATTTGCCGGGTGTCTCTCATGGGGTGGGACTTCTCACCCCTGCCCCCTCTCTAGGCTGACCTCATGGGTAGAACAAGAGGCAGGGCCTCAAACAATCCCATCTGCCTTCCACTGGTGGCTGGAGGCCCTGGTGGGGGAGGAGGATCCCAAGACCCTTCGGTTGGTTGCCAGCTTTCCCTCCAGGCTTCCCATGAGCCCCCAGTGCAGAGGGGAAGAGGAGCAGAGCATTCCTGGCCTTCCAGAATCCTGGATCCAGGGGCAGGGCACTTCCTCTGACCGCCTTCCTGGTCTCTCAGGGTTTTTCACGCAGGATGGGAAGGGCTTTTGTCCAAGCTTAGCTGAGTGTTTTTTCCTGCTTCTGGTTTCTCTGTGGTCCAAACCTTCCTGCTTCCCCTTCCCAGAGTCTCTGAATCAAGCCCAGGAATATGAACCATCATTACCAGCCTCTGTAAAGGAGCCTTGCAGATAAATACCAGCCCAGCCCTTAGAGGGCCTCTCATCAGCCATGTGGAGCTTCTTTCCCACTGGTCCAATAAGCCCTGGGCTGATGTCTATTTGCAAAGCCAGAGGTAGGGAAGCAGAAAAGTGTGAGGGGAGCTGAATATTTTTAAAAAAATATTTATTTATTTACTTATTTATTTGGTTACTGCAGGTCGTAGTTGCAGCAGGTGGGCTCCTTAGTTGCAGCACATGGGCTCTTTAGTTGTGGCATGCGAACTCTTAGTTGTGGCGTGCATGTAGGATCTAGTTCCCTGACCAGGGATTGAACCCGGGCCCCCTGTGTTGGGAGCATGGAGTCCTATCCACTGTGCCACCAGGGAAGTCCCTGTTCTCTCTCTCTCTCTTTTTTTTTTTTTTTTTTGCGGTACGCGGGCCTCTCCCTGCCGTGGCCTCTCCCGCCACGGAGCACAGGCTCCGGACGCGCAGGCTCAGCGGCCATGGCTCACGGGCCCAGCCGCTTCACGGCATGTGGGATCCTCCCGGACCGGGGCACGAACCCGCGTCCCCTGCATCGGCAGGCGGACTCTCAACCACCGCGCCACCAGGGAAGCCCCCTGTTCTCTCTTTTGACTGACCATTCATTCCTCACCTCTGGGCAGGACACAGCAGACAGCAGAGGGGGCTCCCTAGCTCTGAGAGTGGGGCAGCCCTTGGCCTGTGCATAGGGACACTGAAATGAATTGGACCCAGGAGGTGTTGCCAGGCTAGAGGAAGAGACAGACATGCACATAGGTAATGCCAACACAGGGTGCCTGGGGCTCTGACAGCAGTAGAAAGGGGCCAAGGGACGCCAGCAGGAGAGTAAATGGCTCTGTGTTAGAAAGTCAGGGAAGGTTTCTTTGATCTGCACCTCTCCAGAAAGCAGGCTGAGAAGGTTAAGGGCGTTCCGGGAAAGGGGACAGCAGAAGACCCAGAAGTGTGAAAAGCTACCATGTGTCAGGGAGTCCCAGGTGGTCCTGTGAGGCAGGGCTGGAGAGGTAGGCAGGGTCAGAAGCAGAGCTTGGACCAGGAGTAGGTCCTTTGGCAGTGGGTGATGGACAGCCTGCCTGGGAAGGGCAGACTCCCACCACAGAGCCTGAGCTCTCCCCAGAGGCTTGCTCAGCCCTCTGTGATCCTGATGATGCCTTGCTGTCCAGGGGAAAGACTGGGGTCTTTGCTGAGCTGATATTGGGGCTCCAGATGCTCTTTTGGGGTTGTCCTCCTCCAGCCTCTTTCCCAGCTTGGATGTCCCTCTGCCTCCAATTTTTTTGGGGGAGGTGGGGCAGGCCATGTGGCATGTGGGATCCTAGTTCCCTGACCAGGGATCAAACCAGTGCCCCCTGCAGTGGAAGTGCAGAGTCTTAACCACTGGACTGCCAGGGAAGTCCCTCTGTCTCCATTTTTCCACCTCATGCAATCACGGTATGTTAGATCTGACATGGTACAGAGGTTAGTAACATACACCAGAATCAGAGAGGCCCGTGTTCAAGTTCCATATCTGCCACTTATCTGGTGCATGACTTTGGGCAAGTGACTTTACTCCTCTGGGCCTCAGTTGTCCCTATCTGTAAAAAAGGGGGAGTTGAAATAGTAGCCACCTCATAGGGTTGTTGGAAGGGCTTAGTGAGCTAGGGCAGGTAAAGAATTTAGCACAGGGTGCAGCGCCCAGAAAGTGTTCAGTGAGTGGGGGCAGTGGCTCCCTCCCTTGCTGGGCCCCTCTGCCAGGGTACCATTGAATCTAACCTTGCAGGTGGTAGACAGGCCTGGCCAGGAAGAGGGAGAAAAGATACATTGTGTCCACACTCCTCTGAGCACTAGAGCTCTGGGAGAAGACGGGGGCCCACCTTGCCCTGGGCTTCCAAAGCAGCTTCATACCTGCAAGGTAGCAGATACTCACCTGTACATACTGCTCAGTGGGGGCAGGGTGTAGGCCCAGGCAGGCAGCCTCTCTGGACAGTTCCCCGGGAAGGACAGCTGGGAGGATGCAAGATAGGAATCAGGGAGGTGGAGGCGAGGGCCAAGAGTGCCTAATGACCCATCTTGACATCAGTTCACCCCTGACATCCAGCTCCGAGGCCCCCGATTGGCAACAGATTTAACTGCTTAGATATATGGTTTCATTTAAGTGGCAGTAACTCTGTCAGTCCTGGACTGACAAATGACAGCCCGCCAACCACTCAGCCGGGAGAGTGCCGTGGCCAGCCCGCGGCTTGTCAGCCACTGGAGAATTACAGAGCCCACTGGCCTTCGACCGCCAGACTGATCAGACCCCAGGGGGCTCCTGAGGGGTGCCTGCTGGGAAGGAGGTCATCTCGGCACGCATAAATACCCCATCTCTGAGGCAGGCTGCAAAGTGTCAAGGCTCCAGGAAGATTTGTGGCAGACCGGCAGGAGGGGTGGGCGGCTGGTGGGCCCAGCAGACAGGCCAGGCTGATGAGGGACCCCAGGGCCGGGACTGCACATGTCCTTGTTCCCGGGGTGGCAGGGTGGACTGAGGGTAGAGGAAGAACCTTTTGCTTAGGGAAAAGCCCACGGAAGGTGAAAACCAACCCTCTTTGGTTAAGTGAGCCTCTTAGCCACCTGCTTTCCCATGGAGAGGGACTGGCAGCTAGGGCCCTCTGGTTTTCTTTTAAATAAAAAGGGGAGTGTGTGTGTGTGTGTGTGTGTGTGTGTGTGTGTGTGTGTGTGTGTGTGTGTGTGT